TGCCATCCATCAAAGATTAAACAGCATGAGCATAATCTCTCCAAAATAGTAATAATTTTTAGTCTGTCTTCACTTTTTCTCTCTCTTTCTCTCTCCATTGCTGATGTGTGTGAGGCTTGCAGGTTGACTCAATACACACAAGTGCCTGCATCTCTGGCTACTCTAATGAAGACCCCAACAGGAAATAGCCATCCATTTCACTCTTTACATCCTTATTTGGTCCTCCACCTCTTCCTTATCCTCCACTTTCCCCTTATTTTGCACCTGCCTATCCTCCTGCCCAGTCACCTCCACCTTCATCCATCATTGCAGGGGTCCCAATCTGCACCGCCCCCAGACTTGCCAGCCGGACACTGCTCTCCAGCTGCACTCCTGGTTGTGCGCAGGCACACGGCATTTATTGGTGACATTATTAGCAACATCAGCCAAATAAAGCAGATTGCCAACATCAATTTTCCTTCTATTGCTGCCAATACAATATGGACCAATACATCGCTGCACCTCTGCTATGTAATAGTCCCCTAGTTTCAGATCTCCAAGTGAAGAGGATTGTTAAATGAGTTGACACCAAGGGTGCTCAATGTTTTTGTCCTATACAGCCCCTACATACCCGACCTGGCATGCAAGGCTACAGGCCACAGGGCACCCCATTCACATGTGGGGAGATCCAGCCCCCATCCGATGTGTGCATCAGGCCCACAGGCCTGGGGTTGACCAACCCTGCATTACATCATACGAATGATGTCCCAGTCTGGAAGCTGGTAAGAGTACGACATGGCAGGTTGAGAGATGATTAAAGTGAAACTAAGTCCAAGATTTCACTGCATGCTCTCATGATCAAATAAAAATATCACTTCTGCAGTCTTACTTTTTACAACCTTGATGATAATTTTAGCCCACTTGTTTTTAGCTCTAACAACCTATCACGCACTCCCATCCACCCATGGCACCATTTGAGACAATAAAGCAAGGATAGATAATACGAAGAACAATCTTCCCCCATGCTTGAAACAAACACTAATAAAAACGGTGTAAAACATTTTACAAGAAGTTGCTTATCTACTAATCTGCATTTTAATTAAGCAACTAAACTAAGGCATGGTTTTATAAAATTTATAGAATTCTACCTTTTTCTAAAAGCATTCTATTCTTATAGCCTGGATAAGACCAGACCCAAATAATTTAAATCTACCTAAATTAACTGACTTGCACTTGTAACTTTCCATTGAGTCTTGCTTGGAAGGAACAGCTAATTTTACTAAACTAAAGTAGAGCGTGAGACAGCTTTTCCAGTTCTAATCAGACTGTGTTCTTCTACCAGCAAAGTTATTCTGAAACCTACCATAAGCAAACTTTGGCTCACAATATAACATTATTTGCTCAATGTAGTTTCCAACTCATTTGCCAATAAATCGTTTTGATAATTTACTTTTACAAGCAACAATAAGATCAACTGCCTAGCATGCCTAAGAGGTAGTCAATTCAACTATCAAATTTAACCAACTTGAAAAATCTCCATCACATAAGCACAGGCAAAACTAGCCTTATACCACAACCATTAATTATCTATACCTTGTTTCTGCTTTCCCTTCCAACTGTAGATCCTTTCAAAGCTGAAGAATCAACTACTGCAAGAAATTAGAGCTTTTTCCAGCAGATTACACATAACGTTGTGTTACCAGTACCTCTCTGGTCATTTACATCAGGGATACAGATACGTTTAGTATGTAACAAGATTTGGCCTGTCCAGGTCAACAGGATGTGGACACTGACTGCTATATTTTCTACTACTTTAGTAGACACTAGATGCGTCAACCCCACTTTTGTTGGCTCCTTTTCAAAATACGCCTATCAGATAAGAGCTTTCAGAAAACTACCCATTCAAGTTTATTTCAGTCATTTATCAAGCTTTAAGTCTGACTCCAATTGTTTGAGAAGTTAATGCCGTGCAGTTTCACAAATCAGAACACCTGAAGGCTGCAACCTTCTTCCAAGTCATTCAAAGTAAGTAAGTTTTGAATATATTCATTCATCCTTGACTTCCACATATATCAGCTGCCAAGAATCCAAAATAAGACTGAGAGCAAGATAAATATGAAATTGGTTACTCGAGTAGGAAGGAAACATGAGGGAATTGTTGTCATGACTGACTGACTAAATGGGGAAGAGCTTATTACTAAATTTGTAAAAGATGCATGTGTTTGTATGCCTTAGTAGCTAAACTACGACACAGGCACAGTAAAGCTGCACCAGGGTACAAAATAAGGCTTCCAGCTCCAATTTAAGGTGAATGTGACCATTTTCTTGGCAAGTCAGTGCCTTGTACCTAAATCTGTAACATCAATCTCTGAAAAAAAGAAAAAAAAGCAACATTGCCAAATACTACATAAAATCTAAGATAGCAAAACTAAGAACATAAGCAAGGTTATTGTTTCACCTGTCACTTCTAAGAAGTACAAAACGTGTAGTTAACCATCTTCTCCCTTGAAAGGCAACATGAAAATCAATGTTCCACTGATTCCCCCTAAATACATCAGCATTATATTTTAAGAGTGTTTTGTTTTTGTTTTTTAAAAAAAAAAAAAAAAAAAAAAAAAAACAAAAAAGGGGGCCCCCTTTTTTGTTTTTTTTTTTTTTTTTTTTTAAAAAAAAAAAAAAAAAAAAACAAAAAAGGGGGCCCCCTTTTTTGTTTTTTTTTTTTTTTTTTTTTAAAAAAAAAAAAAAAAAAACCAAGACAGAGGTCACCTCTATATGCTTTCTTTTCCACTTACATTAAGAAAAGATCAGTAGTAATTCAAACAGCCAAAAAGTGTGTGGGGTGGAGACATGAGTGGGAAGAGAAGACAGAACAGCAAGTTCCCTTATTTGCTTTCAAAATTACTGTAAACATGGCAACATATTTATTTAGAGTTCTCATACTTACTTGGATTGCCATGGATAACTGAACATTTACCAACACAAATTTTGGAGAAACATGAATCATAAATTTGTTAAGTGGTGTGACTTTGTTTCATCATAGCCACCACCACCAAACCATGGAGTGGCAGAGTTTTCACACTGCTTAACTACAGCATTGGCTGATTCTGATGTACTCCCTTGTCATACATGAAGCTCTGTGTTCTTGAACATCTATGTGGCATTTGAAACCCTTGCTAGTGGGACAAAAGATGAGCTTCCATGTTTTACAAGGTATTTTTTTTAATCTGGGCTGTAATACTGAAAGTATTGAGCATTCTAAAATGTACAGCTCTTTAAAGGATTGATTTGATATTTTAAAATGGCTTTTCAACTTTCTTAGGTGAATGTGTCCACACCCAACAGGCACTATCTGTGAAGCAGCTGTCCACTCATCAAGTACCTTTTCTGCTCCTAAACCTCTTACCTATAAGTACAATTAATCTCAATTTAAAACACTTACTGCAAGAATAGCATTTCATGTAATAGATTAGAAATACTTGGTGCTGTCCAGAAGCATACCAATTTAAATGACTCTCACCTCTTCTGGTAAAGTGATGATAAGATCAGCATCCAACTGGCCAATTCTTGAAAGGAAGTAACTGCTGCAAGCTGCAAGCACAGCCCGATGAGCCCGAAATCGTTGATCTTCCACTAAAATAGTAACATCACAAAGAATATCTTGCTTTCTCTGACCATTGAGACCGAGTAGAACATTGGTACTGTGTACTGAAGACTCATAAGCAAAAACCACACTATTCTTCTCACTTAAAGACATTCTGTATCACAAATGTTAGTGTAAATCTCAGTGGAAAGCATGCTTCTATTCTTCAAACCTGAAAAGAAATGTGAAAATTTATGCAGCTTAAGTATTGACAGGAATTCAGCGACAACAGTAGGATAACAAGCACACATTTAAGTTACATATTTACCATTTTTTAATTTTATATAAAATTTAGACCCACTTTTATGCAAAGTTTCAAAATATATTTCTGAATATATCCTCATCTTTAAGCAAGTTTGTTACAAATAAATCTAGCACCTACTGGACACAGAAGGAAAACCCAACACATATGGAAAAACCTCTTAATTAAATATTTGTCTTTGGAGAAGATTGAAAATGATCACATTACCACGCAAGTTTCTGAAAAGATTTTAAGCATTACTATTTAAAAAGAAGCACCGACTAAAGTATTACAGAAACTGAAAGAGGAAGATAAGTACCACAAAGGCTCTAGATCAAAGTTCATCAAGATACTGCACAAGCAGCTTGTGTTTGTTGATTACATAGTGTAGAGTCTAAAAAGGTTTCTTCACCTCACAAGACAACAAGATCTCCTACAAAATGATAAGTTGTGGGCAATGAGTCAGCATCTCATCAACAGATCTCAAAAGACAAGAGGAAATACATTCTGAAATGTCTTACGTAGCACTTGTTTCAATGGCTGTTTGGTGGTCACTGAAGTCTGTGATTATATTCTCATTGTACAGGCAACTGCTGCATAAAAAATTATAAAGGAGGTGGCAACCTACAGTATAAACACTCAAACCATCTAAGTTCTGCTTCCAGCCCTGCCACTGAGGCCTTACTAGAAGGCCTCAGCTTCCCTATCTGTACATCATGAGGATACAAGTTAAGCAATATGTTTGAATGCATATTTCACTCTTCACACTGCATACAAGACCAGATCCCAGGCTTCTCTTGCACCAACAAGTCACTGAGCTGATCCTGCTCCCAGCCTCAGTAACACATTGGCGTCAAAGGCTCCAATGCACTCTTGAGGCTTGGAGCGCCAATCAGCTAACTGCTGCTCCCAGCCTCAGGGATATACAGTACCCCTTGACTAAAACACCCCCAAGGCTGGGAGTCCTGATCAGCTGATCTGTCCTCCCAGACTCCAGGATACAGCAGAGTCAAGGGCCCCATGCATCCCCATGACTGGAAGAGGCAGCTGATAATGGATTCCAACCTCAGGAACATGCTGGAGCCAAAGGACACATTGGATGCACCTTCTAGACGGAGAGCAGAAATAAGCCAACTGGTGCTCCCGACCTCAGGCAATGCATCTGAGTAAAGGGCTATGGTATGCCTCCCAAGGCTGGAAGCAGCAATCAACTGACTGGTACTCCTAGTCTCAGGGATTCATAGATGTTATGGGCTGGAAGGGACATCACAGCTCGTTGAGTCCAGCCCCACTGCACTTGGGCAGGAAAGACTGCTAGGGTCAGATGACCCCAGCAAGATGGGTGTCATTTTTTAGAGATCTCTAGGATAGGTGACCGTACCACCTCCGGGGGGG